GTGTAGGGTGCAGCAGTAGTCAACCGGGTAGGGATGGGGTAGAAAGGAATAGGGGTGTCAGGAATAAAAAGATATATACACTATTTTAATTAAATTAATATTCTAATAAAAAAATTTATTCCAAATCAAGAACATTGAATCTAAAAAATAAAATTAAACACAAAAAATATAATATAAATAATTATTATTAAAGATAAAAACTTACTGGTGTGTGTGGTATTAATTATTTGAATGCTAAAAATGTTTTTAAATATATATATTTTTACCACAGCAATATTAAAATATATGTAAAACTTACTTATTGTATAACTTTGAACTATATTATTGTATAATCTGGTGGGCACCTTTTTGGGCTAGTCCTATCTGTGTGTCCCGAATAAAAAAAATTAAATTGGTCTTACTCACATTATTTGCCAAATTCTTCGGCATTCCATAAAAATCCTAAAATATCAGAATGATAGGAGAAAAACTAAATAACTTTAATTTACTGACGAAATAGTGATGTCGAATTCCAAAAAACCATTGATTGATTATAACTGAAGAATTGGAGAATACGCAGCTTTACGAAAATGCGATGAATACCAGCATGAAACAATTTTGATTGATAATTTTTTAAGTGAAACAAATAATTCCATGGCTTAATAAAGTGCATCATAGAAAGTTTTTACCATGTCAAAAAGTTCTTTATTACAAAGTGTGTCCTAATTAATGGCTTCAAAGTATTGACGTTTGGTAGTAAAATCGACATTATTTGTCGTGTATTGGAAAGTGGTTTCAAGTGGCGGGTAGTGATCAACAGATTGGATCAAAACATCGATAGAACAAATTCAAGAAAGTTAGACGAGGCTCATAACCATACGTTGGCATAAAATGCTACAAGTCTATGTAGCAAAGATTTTTCTAATGAATTCAAAAAGAGTGCTCAAAAGTTTCAGTTATTGCAAGTCTTCTATTCTGCGTTTTATGCTGTACTATTTTATTATACTTCTACAAGATTAAAGTATGGTACTTATTTACCTACTAGATCTACATTGTTTTTGTTATGTTACATATAAAAGAAAAATACTCAAATCCGTCTTTCTCGCTGTTTTGATTTCTTTGTGACTTGTCCAATCTGGTTTGTTTGCCGATTTTAAGCAAAATTTACTTTTATCATTACAATCTTAATACATAGTATGATAGGTTGGATTCCAACGCCACACATACAACTATTTAATTAACCAACGTAATACAAGTTGCAGTGTAGTAAATACTGTAAGGGGTTTCCAGCCACAGAGAAAACGGTTCCTTACGAATGGCGCTGGTTACGGGCGGTTCTCGAGAGCCATATTTTTGGTGATGGTTTACTCCACAAACTGTCGAAACTGCGTCGAAAGTACTCGGGTAGCTACAGATGGAGATGAAAAATTCCAGGGGTCAAAGATCACTTAGACACAGGTAATAGTAGGCCACAAGTAACGGGCTTTAATCGTTGCTTGGGCTGGTACAGAACTTATTACTAGCTGAAATACAAGGGGGAAATAAAGTATGGAATTAGTAACCAGTAATACGGCAAGTTAACATTGACACATGTATTGTTTTGAAATATTTACAACATAAAAAAAAGAAATTATATATTTCAACGCCCACCCTAGTTGTGGTGATAGTCAATATAACCCTGAACAAAAAAAAAGAAACAAGACGGACGGTATTGAATCCCGACTAGTCTCAATCAGACTTCAAAATTGAATTAAAATAAAATGAATGTTTCGTTCGCAGAAAAAATTATTAACTTGGCTACTAAGTCGGTAATTAAACTAAAATATAATTTCCCATCTCGGTAAGGAATATTTCTAAGAACGGTCGTAGCAAAAATTAACTATTTAACTGTTTTATCGGGAATTAAACTAAAATATAGGTATTTTACTATTTTGGTAAGGAAAAATTAGCTAAACGGTCATAGAGAGTGCGAGGAGACAGGGACGCGAAAGAATTACTTGTAGTAAATATACGGAAAGAAAATAAAAATAAATTTATACCCGGGGTAGCCTTTTATCCCAGAATGAGCTGATCGTCAACACAAGCCCGCTCAGACAGGGTAATGAAGGTATTTAAGATTTCTGTTAGTTGCAATTTGCACAAATAAAATAAAGAATACAAAGGGAAAAAGAAAACTAACGCGGATAGCACCTAATCCAAGAATGCACTGATCGTCATCACGAGCCCGTTCAGACAGGGACAGGATACTATTTAAAGTTATTTAGATTGTTTGGGAAAGAGAAAAACAAAACTATTATAGGAGGGAAGAAAATTACTAACACGGATAGTACCTACTCCAAGAATGAACTGATCGTCATCACGAGCCCGTTCAGACAGGGACAGGATACTATTTAAGATTCTTTAAATTTGCGGTTTATACATTAAATAAAAAAAAAAATAATGCGGATAGCACCTACTCCAAGAGTGAAGTGATCGTCATCACGAGCCCGTTCAGACAGGACAGGATACTATTTAAATATACGGTAAAAGAAGAAACAAACTATTAAAAGAAGGAAAATGTCTCCTCGAAAACTCCGTTTATAAATATTCCCAACTTAATTACAACGCGGCACTTACTAAACAAAAGTATTTATCAATAAAATCAAATTTAATTCCCGATTTAACCTACCAAAAAGAAAAAAAATTAATTTCTTAGTACAGACTAACGATCAAAAGTCTAAATCCCCGGTATTACAATATTAAAGAACTAAATCCTATCATTTATTATTTAAATCAAATTCTATTCCCTTTAAAGAAGCGGTATTATTTTTGCCAAGAAATAAATTCTAATATTTATTAATGAAATCAAATTAAAATCTTTTAACTCAACACTATCTATAATCACGGTATTATTTTTGCCAAGAAACAAATTCTAATATTTATTACTGGAATCAAATTAAATCTTTAAACTCAATACTGAATTAAAATGTTCCTATATCTACAAGATAATTCGGTTTTTAAAATGAAATACGGTCTCAATATAAAACGTAAGAAAGCGAAACAAGGTTTTTTTACCTAACGGATTTATAAACACGAGAAAGAAAAGAAGTTATCGGCGGTGAATTGATTTGAGAATGCGGCTAATATTCTAAAGTCTAAATTGCTGGAAATCAAGTATTGTATCGAACTAAAAATTTTAATTCCATCTCGGGCCTCGTTCAACTGCTGATTCCCTTTCCCTATCAGAGACCCCACCAACGCCAGTCCCACCGCGCAGCGATACTCGATCGGCGTTCGCGCATGTAAATTAACTCAGGACCAACAGTTCATCGCGTTTAATATTTATTGAAAATGAAAAATGAAAATGAACTGATTGAGGAAAAATTGACTTCATTACAATACACTACCCAGATAACAATTATACATTCTTATCATATTCTCAGTATATGCTTTTTAAGAATGTGTATATGCTGAGAATATACTGGATTTGCATTTGGAACATTCTCAGAACATACCAAGAATATGCTACGTGACGTTGTTTATACGTGCTATGCAGATGCTGAGAATGTATTCGAGTATGTGTACAGTATGCAATAGGTACTTTAATTTAATAGTACGTTCTAAGTATATGCTTAGTATTTAAATATACCATATGCTAGGCATATACTAGATACCCTAATATAGGATGTTTCATTAATATTGAACAATAAAGAATAAGTGTATATAATGAAATCTTTATTTCAAAAAAATCATACTTATTCTTATTTTTAATACAAATTCTTCATTTGGCCTTAACTAACCAATATTTCATTGTATCAATGGCTTGAGTTTCATTTACTTGATTCCATTGGATCGTCATTAAACCTAAAAAATAAAAAAAATCAACAAACTTGGTATATATACAAATTAACTGTACATAGCTAATGGACTATTTTAAATATTTTTGTCGAACGTGAAACATTAAAAATTGTACATGGCATTTCACTAACAAAAACAAGAATTACATAAATGATTATTATGTTTAGTAAATGTTTAAATATATTTTTGTTAATTACTTACCTCCATTTTGTAGTTTTCCTCCTCCTTTAGCTTATTTTTTAGTTCTTCCAGGTAAATTTCTGGGCTTACAGAATTTTTTTCATAGAAAGTGTGTATGTAATTCTGGTAACACTAAATTTTAGTTTTAATCCACCATTAGTATTAACCATATTAATAAATTCACACTGGAAATTAATATTTGGATATCCTGTGTTCTAACTTCACTTATAGGTCCTAAAAACTACAAATATAGTAAAATTTGTTTATTTTTATATAGAACGCACGATGCAATTAATTTTTACTAATTTACTTACTGAAACGAGATATGAACGAGATCAAAGAAATTTCTAGGAATTGTAGGTTATGTTATTCTTCTTATCTTTTATTAAGATTGTTTTTGGCCTAAACATTAGTGCGTTTGCTAACCAATTAATATATAGGTATCTGGGAAAAATTCATATAGATATGTATATAAACGTTTTTTTTTACATGTATTTGGTGTTAATTTTTACCTGCAAGCTTTAGAACATTCTCAGAATATGAGATACATGCTGGGTATATGACTTTTAGTATCTTCTTAGAATGTCCTGTTAAAGCACGTGCTCAGTATATACTTTTTGGAATATACTTTTAAGGCACGTGCTCAACACATACTTTCTAGAATATAGTTTCAAAGTATATACAAGGTATGTTCTAAGAACATACTAAAAAGGACATACTAAAAAGAACATAAACAGAACGTTCTTAGTATATTCATAGAACATTGATGTTTTGTGGGTAAATTGTATAAGGCAGTTTTTTGGTAGCTATTTCCGGCACACATCAATATAATGGTTAATTTACACAAAAAATCTATGTTATGACTATACCCACTAAAAATTTCACTTATGATATTTATGCCTATCTCTTCGCCGTTTAATTAATTATTATACGCTCCTCGTAAACTTTTTAATGGTAATTAAAGATAATAATTCCAAGGAAGCCTTGGATTCGATCATAGATAACTAAATTTAACGGAAATATAGAATCTATTGACTTCACAGTATATAGGCAGCAGTGTTCGAGTTGAACCATATTTTTTATTTACCTTTTGATAGTAAAATATAGATAATATCACTAAATATTCCTATCGAAACTGCCGTCATTTTATAATATTTGATAATAAATTATATGTTTTGTATTGTCGGTGTTGTAAAATGTCTACAAAAGATCTCTTAGTGTGTGATGTTCAAAAAGTTCGTGAAAAATGGGGAAAAACTGAAGCAGATGTAAAACGAGACGTAGAAATACTAAAAGATTGGCTGAAAAGTCAGAAACATTTGCCCGAAATACCAAGTGAGTACGAGAAGTGTGTGTAGATATTTTTTATTTTAAGGTTATAAAAGCTTCCCCAAGAACAGCACACTTAATAATTATTTCTTAGTAGTAAAAATTACGCTGGTATGGGGGAGATTTTACTAATATGTAGTGTAGATTCTTTTGAAGTTGAAAAAAAAAATAATGAAGGTTGTCGAGTTTTAAATCAGGTTTTATAGATTTTGATGAGAAATGCTTGTAGACCAGGAGATAGCAATAGTTTTCGTGAAACCATTTCCTGACATCTGCCATTAAGGATGGTTATTTTTTATATTACAAAAAGTGAAATAACTGTAATTCCAAAAAGCTCTGTGTGTGATCGTGTGACAACACCCTGCCAATTTCAAAATTTTAAAAGTGTAGAAGTGGATCAATATTATCTCGTCTGCCATGAGTGCCATACAGTTTATTGGTAAAATTATAGAGTGTAGAGTTAAGAAGAACTATCTTTGTATACAAAAAGCGTTCTTCAGAATGTATAAAATTAAGATGGTGCTTCTGTACCATCCATAAATAATTTCCTACCCAATCTGTATTGTAATAAAAAGGTAATCTGGATCGTAATTGAAATAATTTGTATTAGAAAAAAAATAATTTTATGTAGACTTTTAATAAGTACCTGTGTAAAATGAGAGTAGAAAGAAAATGTGTTATTGGATGAAATTTTTAATAATAGTAAAAATATTTTTGCTTAATACCATATTTATTTTAACCCAATGCTGAAAGATTACATCAATAAACTTTGGAGGGATGAAGACCTCCTTTTTTAGCTCCCCAAAGATAAACACAACAACAGTTTTATCTTATTGGTTACGTTTCAGTAAATTATGTATTACATTGCTGGACAATAATGGCGTTTTGTTGAACAAATCCAATTGTTGTACAAGATCAAATACTGCATAGACTTTGAAAATGTACAATTCAGCTAAATGCTTTACATGTGGTCACCCTATTATATACAGGTCAGAAAAAGAAGGAAAAAAAAAAGATATTTAACGCGATTTAATTTGAAAAATCCGCAATTTCGATTACACCTAGCAAAAACAAAATTGCAAAAGACTTGCTAGGGTTGTTGATTTTTCAAAATACAGTACTTAGACATAACAAACAAAAAATACAATATTAGAAATAAAAATTAATAAAAAACTATGGGCAAAACTTTTTAATTTTATACATTTTGGTGAACACTTTTTGATATAAAGAAGCATATAAGATTGCCCTTCTTTCCTCTACACTCCATAGGTGAAATTAAACAAAAAAAGTATACAGAAGCTAAATAAATCACAGAAAGGTTAATAATATATCAATGTCATATTAATAATTTAAAAATGTCGCCATAGATCAATAACCTTTTGTCTGCTCAATTAAATATATGTTATGATTTATGATATAAACAAATGAATGGCACAATATCTCGTCTGTATCATTTTTATCGATAAAAATTGTCGAGACGTTGAACAATTTTCACTCAACTCCCAAATGTTAGATAATATGCAATTATGCAAAGTAAATCCCAAAAAACCATTGGAAAATGTATCGAGGGTGTATTAGAATATGCAAAAATAATAAAAATTGAGATTGATTTTCTTCAGTATTTTAAATTAAGGTCTACTAAGTGCTTTGTTTCGATTGGCAGAAATTGAAAATTGATGAAAGTCCTTAAAAACGAAACAATTATTGTCAATTTAAAAAAAATTATATATAATGAAACAATTTCCTTCCGCGTCATTTAACTGGTAAAGTTGTTATTATTATTATAAAAACAACTATATATGAAGAAGCAGAAAGATTGCTTATGTACAAATGTATAAATACAGGTTGCGCCTTTATATTTTGACCTTTTTCAAAGCTACATAACTTTGAAATTTTAGTTTTAAAGTTTTCTTGTAAGTTTACAATACATGGCAGACGGGATAATATTGATATACTCATTTTGATTTTAAAATTTGTATGACAGCGTATTGTCATAGGCAAGTCTCTTTTGGAATTTCAACCTTAAGGCAGACTTATGAAAGCAATAAGTTTAATAAAATTGAAAAACTTTATTTTTGACTTATAAAACTGTTTCCACAAATAGACCTTTTGCTTATTCCCTTGTTAACAAAAATATAGTAAGAAATTCACAGATACGGAAATTTAAACGCGAACCATCCAAGCCAAATCTATTAGAGACGAGAGTAAGTGGGAGTGAGGTGGAAGTCGTAAGTACCGTGCGCCAAATGACAGATGCTCGGTAGTCTTTATTCGTTTCACGCGTGGTTCTATTATACCTACTTTGTCCAATTCATTCTCCGATTCCCCGTTTAGATTTCCTTATAAAAAAGTCATTATTATTTTCAGATTCACTAGTTTCTAATGATCGATGATAATATTAATAATAATAATAATAAAAATAATAATACTTTTCCTAATTCATCCCCTTACGAGTGAATTTTAACCCCTGAAGTCAACTAAGCGACTTGTGTAAGGGAAGGGAGGGTTATTATTATTTGCCGTGGCGCTCGGGGGCGACTTAAAGATAATTGATGGCGCCATTTGACTTACAGGTGAGGTAAACCGTACCCACCATCTTCGAAAACAGTAACGCATGGCGATTTTTATAATTTGGATGTCATATCAACAGAAATTAATTTTCTGCTAATATGGCATCCATCAAATACTATAGAGAACCATGGTCTTCCCTAGGATTCGAAGCCCGGTTTGTCTCTACCACAAACTTGGCTCGCAAATGATGTACTCGCCATAGACACCTACACTACCGTAGTCGGATACATGATGGCTGTAGTCATTCTTGGTAGCATTGCTTTTGTTGGAGCAAAATTGATACAGCTTTGGTTACAGTTAAAGTAATTTTCTACAGATCGCTTAAACACCAAATATTGCAAATCCAAGGCAATTTTTATTTCTATTTTGTTTGTGTTTTGTTTAGTTATTCTTATATTATATTATTTCTATAACATGGTTAGTTTTTAGTTTTTTAATTTAGTACTCACATGGTATATAAAATTTGTGGAAATTTTTCTACAATAAAGCATCTCTTTCTATCTCTCTCTGTACCCGTACATTTGCGTACGGTAATGAACTTATTACCGAATACCGAATTTTTATACGTATTACCGTATTTTGGTTGTACGATAATTAACGTACGGTTGGCAACACTGCTTCGTTCTATTATTATTAATAAGAAGGAACTTTTGCGCAGAATTCGGACTGTTTCTTATCGTTGTTCGATCTCTTGTTGATAGCTATACCTTTCTTAGCTAAATTTGAGGCTGCACTGGAATAATTAAGGAAATTTAAGAAATACTTTTGTTGTCCAACCCAATTTCTTTCAGTTTATATTTTTGTGTACTAGATAATTCTTTCATTCATGCAATAATTAAAGAGATTTTAAGGTGATAGAGTTTTAGGTGTAAGAAAGATGTATCTAGTAAAAATCAGAAAATTCAAAAAAATACTGATTTTTTGACCTTTACGTGCTACTTAGGGCGGCCGGTTTTTCAATATAATGTTATTTTGGAGGTTAACTAACTGCTACTTTAAGGTTAACCTCTAGTTAAAATATGAAGCGTTTTTCAATGGAAATCATACTCTTTGTTAATTAACCTTGATTTTAAATGTATTTTAATTACCCAACATTGAATTTTTATGTGGTCTTCGGCATTTTAGATATTTGTTTATAAATTCAAATAAAAAGATCAAGAAGACACCAGGAAGAGGGAATTGTTTAATATTTGATTAGTAGTTGTATTTTCAATTTAATTTTTAGGGTTTCATATCCGCAGGGTAACCAACGGGACCCTATAACTAAGTATTTTTGTTACCACTACAACAAAACATATTAATAATAAATTAAAAATTTCACGCTCTCCTACTAGAAATGTGTTTTTTTTGGCTTTTTTGCTCGATCTTAATAAATCTTAATAAAGTAGTATTAAATCTTGTACGACGCACACTGAGGCAACAAGCCATCAACGTTGGTAATAAATCACAGACTCTCTTTATGAATTTGTAATTTAAATATTGCTTTGTAGAGGTGTTAGTATTACAAATGAAAATACATAGAGGGCTAATAATGTGTTTTTTTTAGCAAATAAACACTTTATAAGCCCTCTATGTATTTTCTTTTGTAATACTAACATATAATATAATAAAAATGTCATGGGCCTAATGAGGCCCAAGTACCGGGGGGGTAATCCACCCTCCACACGTTAAAGATACATATAATAAAAATGTTATATTATAATAATTTGATTTTTCTCTGTTATTGGTCTATAGGCAACAAAGCAGAAGATATTATTTCAGGCCCATGTATAAAGTATTTGTGCGATGTCGGAGGCATATTGACAGTGGGTACTTTTCAACAAAATATCTAGCGGTGTTGTGAGAAAATTCTATTAATTTCGTTCTTTCCAGAACTTCTCATGGTATTAAGAAGTTTCTATCTCGATAAAAATATAGTGTTCAACCTCGTTCCTGAAATAAAATAAAAAATAAATTAAATTGTTATGTGCAAAACAGTGGTGTTTCATTTATACCGGGTGGGCTATAAAAAACAGTATTTTGTTTTTAATTTCATTTTTTAAATAATAAACCGATTTTGCTGTTCTTAGGCTCATGTTATAGATAACTAACTATGCTCCCAGATCTAACAAAAATAAACTAGCTCTAAATCAAGTCACATTTCAATTAGGTTCGCCATCCTGGAATTTAAAATTTTCACCATTTTAATTTAATGTTCGGAAAGTATATTTACATACCTACCAAATCAGACCCATTGAGTCTAAATTGGTCAAAAACTAAAATAGCAGCGTTGCAAAGCATAATAATGTGTTATTATAAGCTTCTATGAAAACGTAAAAACCAGACAACTTTGATTGTCTATATCTTACGATTTAATGGACTAATCGTGCTCGGAGAGGTCTTAAAATAAATAAAATAGGTTATGTATTTACCTTCTGTTATTATTTAATTTATAA